CGCTCCTCACTCTCTCTCTCTCTCTCTCTCTCTCTCTCTCTCTCTCTATCTATCTATCTATCTATCTATCTATCTATTTATCTCTATCTATCTCTCTATCTATCTATCTGTCTATCTGTCTGTCTATCTATCTATCTATCTATCTATGTATTTATCTATCTATCTATTTCTTTATATATATATCCCCCCCCTCTCTCTCTCTCTCTCTCTCTCTCTCTCTCTCTCTCTCTCTCTCTCTCTCTCTCTCTCTCTCTCTCTCTCCCTATTTCTCTCTCTTAGTAAGTAACCAGGAGACGTTATTTCGTAAGTACAATAAATACTTTTTGCTTTGCCCCTGCCTTGCGTTTTCCTGTAGGCAATTGTCCTCGGTTCGACGCTCTTCCAATTTCTTTTTTTCACAGTTGCATAAAATAATTTATATTTTCCGCCTCAATGGCTTTCCATTTGGATATGAAAGACAGCTTTTTATTCTCTTTTTGCTATTCAATGCTCAACATTTATATGCACGCGTTTCAATGCTTTACGGCATTCGACTACAGTTTGTTCCACATTTGGGATGTATTATTTCTATCGTCAAACATGAAATTTTAGGCTTTTCCACTTTTTGATTACATTTCCGAACCTTATATATAACAGTGTCTTTTCTGCGTGTATGCGAGTATCTTCCTTTTCCAAAGATTTAATAAAATAATATTTAATATTCAGCAGAACTTTATTTTTCATTGTTTCATATGACGTTTATATCTTACAACGTGCGGTATTTTAACTGAATAATACAATTATTATAGTGTTATCGGTTGAATAGGATTTATTATTTTAAACAAACTGGTTTGTTTCCCTTCAAAAGCTGATAAAACTATGCAGACATATAAGCAGTGAAATTTATTAGTTATCTTCGGTAAAAACAAAAATTCTATGATAAGAAAATTTTGATGAACAATCTTTCAGATCGCTATTATAGTTCACCAGTGATGATTTACAATTGGAATAAAAGACTATTGATTTCATAGGCTCACATGACAACACTCACCAAGAATGGAAAAATCACTGTTGCAATTGGAGAGGGCTAAACTCAGACGGGTGATAGGACTACTAACCGGTCACTGGCATCTGAGAAAACATCAACCCAACATGGGCATATGCAACGATGTCCCATCTGCAGATCGAGGAGGAGGAAACAGCCCCACACATATCATCTTCGAATGCGAAGCAACAAGCAATGGAGATTTTGCCTAACATACGAAAAAACTTAGGGAATCAAATTGTAGCAGCGACAGGCAGCGACCTGGTACTTCTAAGGAGAAGGAGTATACTGCACTGAACTAAGAATCTAGGAAGGTACAATAAGTCAGAAGGCTGCAGTGCCAGGGGATATCAAAACCCGCTTCCTTATCGCCATACCATACCACAGGCTCACGGACCCCTTCTAATGGAGGTGAGACCACGTAGGTGCCCTTGATATGGAGAACTTACCACGATAGAACACGTATCACACTGCAAAGAACTAAATATACAAAGAAAAAGATACGACATCCCGAATGGGCCTAGGCCTTGAGGCAGGGCAAGTGGCGCCGATCATTCATACAAAATCACAGGGCCATGGAGTTGGAGGGACCCTAGGCCGACACGAGTGTACTTTAGAGCAGTGAAACATCCATTCTCTACGATGATCAGTTCGGTACGAGCATGAATGTTGATTCCAACTCACATCATAACTGACTTTGAAACGGCTGGGACTCAAGCTTGGCGCATGAAGCAAAGCTCTCTTCACGTCTTCTCCAAACAAGGTCATCTGCCACAAACCAAATTGGCACTCGTCTGTGAAGAGAACAGCTCCCCATTGTTCCCAGTAGAGAACCTGATGCGGAACGTCTAAACACTAGGTTCTCTTCTGATGACTGATTTGGGGTTTAGGAGGCTTACCTTACATTACAAACCGTTTGGGGTTGACTACCTGTCAAGGAAGCCGTTAAATGACGGATCCGTAGTGCGGTAAGAGCAATAAAACGATCGTCTCTAGCCGTACATCGAGGTCGAACACTACCTTCTGGTTCCGGTGGCCCTAAGCCGCCGTTGACCCTCACTGACTCCAGGGCTTAGGCTATGTAACGGACGCTAAGTCCGTCGTTGGCCAAAGCATCTGCCCGAACGAGATCGTCTTGACTTAAAACCTTGTTTTTAAGAAAAAATTACTCAAATTTATTGTTTCATCAAAGAAAATATTTCAAAAACCAATTAACTCACTAGGCAAGTTGACTCTGTAAAGGATGAAATTGAACTAATTTTCTTTATTTTATGTAAAGAGTGTAAAAGGATTAGAAACACTCTTTCGTACTTATTACGGAAAATAAACAAATAAGTAAAGTCCAGATGAAATAAATTATGTCAATACCCACCTCGTTAGTGCATTTGTACTTTTGGGTTTGTTCATTGAGACGGTTACGGTCGAGTACCGATGTCCACATTACTTTGTCAGCTTGACCGAGCAGACTACCACCGAAGTGAACTAACTCTCTTTTTCTCTCCTCAATCAGGTTGTTTCTTCTTAATTACCAAACCAATTCAAAAGGAATCAAGGCCACAGTTGCGATAATCCTTTGATGTTTTTCATCATTTGTAACGATTCGAAGAAAATAGTTGGCCGTTAATTACGACCGTAAATCAACCAAGACGAAAAATGACAATAGAGCCGTGCATTTAAGTAAAGCATAATAATATTAATAAACTAATGCGTATATGTATTATATTAATGCTGTACTATGTGGATTGTATGAGTTTGTGACACTGGTGACAAATGACACTGGTCACCGAATGACACAGGTACAATGGCGAGAAGGAACATCCAAGGAACTAATGACAATTGTCTTACAAATGCATTGTTTACCGTTAGAGAAGTTTCCACCAAAAATCAGTTGGTAAGCCTCACTAGACCTAATGACGTTCTTGTTGAGGAGATTTGCAAGGGTCGACCCGAGTAAGACAGTCGAGCTCGAACAATATATATGTAGTACCATCAGGGATGAGCGAAAACTGTCCTCTGTTGATAAGACCACCTGATGGTTCAGTATCGAACCTAGAACGCAGGAAGGCATAATAGCTGGAATATTCAGTAATAAGCCCAATCTCTTCCAAGCTCTTGTCGGCAGTACTCGACTGATACTATCAGTGTTTGTGATATAGTAGTAGTAAGTAACGGGAAATCTTTTGCAAAATTCAAGGTTGAACTATAGACATTATTTACTTAGCCGAGTCTATAGGTAAATTCGTTTTCCTCTTCCTCTACTAATAATCTTTACTGTCTTGTGTACTAATGGTCATCTATCTATGACGTTACATCACTTCAGTACTACCTCACCCAATATTGAGAAACATTGTAGGCTCATTATTTCAAAGATTCCAAAGCACTGAATCGCACATGACTATACTCTTTCAAGATATCTAACCACCAATTGTATATTTGAGGAGCTTATTAAAGATATCCATTAGTTAATGAATGTTCCAGGCAATGTAGCTGATTCTAGATTCAAATGCACCGTTTGATACAATATACTGTCCTAACCTATAAAACCATATGGAGGATTACTAGGATGAAAGAACGAAATATTTGGCTTGTGAAATTTCTTTTTGAGATCTGCTGGGTAGAATTTGTAGTTTTGTCGTGTACCTTTTAAGATGTTTTTGGCGTAGCTCGTCTATTCGATCGTCTTTCAAATATCCATTACTTAAACATCATCTCCTATCCGACAGAGCGTTTATTCGGGTCCGAACAATGTCATACTATCCTGACTCTAGTCGAGGGAATATCGCAGAGCTGCTTGGCTCAGGCTGGCATTCCAACTACACCCACTTTCGAATAAACTGTAGAATAAGTTATAGGATAGTAGAGCTGTGTTATCGACGATACATGGAGAGTCCTACAGTTGATTCGAAAGTTAAATAAAAACCAATCTAGATTCTCTTTCTTTCTTCTATGTTCCCATCCATCAATCTAACCGCAAACGCTACCTTGTGTTCTAACTAGCATGGTCAACCTGAAACAAGAAATAAACGTTGAGGACTTTACAAGCTTAGTGCTATTATCGTCAAAAAACAAACCAACCGATTTCGACGTACGGTATGGGCAACGGAAAATCTTCCAATATCTAACAGTTTCCGAACCCTTCCAACCCAAAGTCCTTAGATCCACTACCCCCCAGTACGACTGTTAAGTACTGCTTATCCAAAAACTAATCCCATAATCCTCTCTTCATCTTAATCATTTTGTTCAAGACTCGTTTAACATATGCCATCCCTAGAAATGATGAAGGTGAGATGAGTATGCAGATTCACTTTTGTAAAATTGTACTCACGGAGTTTTTGTTTACACTTATCCGTATTTCAAGCATTAAATGCTCATCAGTTTGAAGGAGTTACAAACTCTCGCCACATGAGTAAACAGTGAACGCACTCCACGGGGAGAGACAAGTTTTTAACTCCTTCAACCTGATGATGAGCGTTTAATGCTTGAAATCCGAATAGTTGTAAACTACAAATTTGTGAGTAGAATCACCTTTTAGAAAAGCGAATCATATTCTTGTCATACCATAAGACGTGTGAAGCGGAGACGGATCCGCGACCTCCCTTCTGAGTAAGTCATCAGATGTAGATGTATTAGTCGGGGTGTAATTTACTGCGCCCTTTAAGAGCTATTATATTCCCCGTTCTGTCCTATTTCATCAACGAATTGGATTAGCAGGCCCGGTTTCAGTGGTTGAATTTTTTCTACGGTCACATTGTACGTCTCAAAGCATTTCCTCCTGCGGGCAAGTGTAGCACCACAGTTTGTTAGTAGGTGTGTTGGTGTCTCCTCTGCTTCTTTGCAGAATCTGTATGTGCCGTCTTGGGTTATACCAATCTTCTTTAAATGTCGGTTTAGTTTACAGAGTCCTGTTAAGATTAGCAGTTTTTTCCTGCTTCCTTTGATAAATTTTATTACTTCTTTCCTTCAGAAATTTAGTAGGAGGTTGGATTGTTTGTGTCCAACGAGCGAGTTCCATCGTTCCCTCATTATCTTTTTATCCTTCTGTCTGAGGTACTCATTGATAATGTGGGTTCCTATACCACAGAAAGGGAGTAAGTCATCAACGAGTAAAGTGAGATAACATTGACTACCTTCTTCCTCCAACAATTTTCATGTGATTATTTGAGTGATGATTAAAATCGCACATAACTTGGTCTTTTCCGATGTTTTTGGTCTGTGAGGCGAGTTTTGGTCTTCCATCTTTAGTGGTTGGTCGGTGTGTTATTTACCTTAGTCGAGTTGGTTTTGCAGATTGTAATATTTCGTTTCATTAAAAAACATAATAGTTTACATAAAAAACTATTTTTCAAAGTTTGAATATCAATAAAGACTTTAGTTTAAAAACTGTTGGTACTAAAGGTGTCATTTATATTCAACCTTTGATGATGGAATCCCATCAAAAAAATAAGCGAACCTCGAAATAATCGATAATTAGATGTTTCATAAGCGAAAAACTTGTGCAATACAACTAAAATAAAACCGATATTTAATGAAAGAACTGCATAAACAAGAAGAAAATGACTGAAAAGGATTTTCATGACGGATCCGTGTAATAGTACTGAAAGAGGTTTCGAAACGGCCAGTTCTAATTTCCCAATTGGAAAAAAGACGGAGGCGGGAGGTGGATGTGCGGTTTAACCGATAATTCAACGAGTGGGGAATAATTGTGAAAGGGGTGCAGGTAAAATGGATCGGAGGCGGAGCGGCGGCCTATAGTCTCGACCATGAGGCGGTTCGTGCAGGTGTTGTACCTGGCTGCTGTTGCTGTTGCTGTCACGGCGAGGGGTCCCGTACCTCCGCCGCCGCGTCACCACGGCTACCATAAAATGATGTCCATGGCAATGAACAACTACATGGACGGCGTATGTAAGTAGAAAGGCTGACGATAGGCCAACATTTCTAGTGAGAAAGCACATGGTTCATTAAAAATTATTTATTATTCTTAAAAAAATGAAATATTTAAACTTTTGGTTGCACTGATCTAAATATAACATACAATGGGGACTAATCGTTAGTATTAAAAAGTACTTTCTGGCTCATTATATCTATTGTCACCCTAGATTTTTCAAATTAGTACATTGTTTAATGATTTTGTTTTTCTTTTGTTCTTTAACCAACAAGGTCCTTAAATTTTGGAAAATTAGAAGGTTGTCGCCCGCCTTCCAACCATGTGCCAATGGTGGCACTTATTGGGTTTCAGGTCATTGATCAATTGGCGAAGAACTAAAATATTGATCACTGAGATTCTTTAGATCCGCAGGGCGATGAACTGTAGCCTGGTCATTTCTGATCATTTGATCAACCTATACTCACTGCTTCGGAGTGTCAGGCTGGTTTCGGCCTTCAGTCATCTTCAGTCTTTGGATTGGCTGAAAACATTGCTTTGAATCAATTAAAATTCCTCCTGAAACCAAATAACAAACAGGACAACCACTGAAAATAGGATAGCTTTTTCTAGTATTTACTCTGACAATCTCGTTGTCATCAATTAAATTGTCCAATTTTGGAAGGTTGTCCGAGTCTTTAATCAACAAAGTCCTTAAATTTTGTAAAATTGGATGGTTGTCGAGTTGAGGCAGCGTACCAATCATGTGCCACAAATGGTGCTACGTAATGGGTTTCAGGTCACTGAGTATTGGTAGAAGAACTAAAATAGTGACTTGTGAGGTTTCTCTTGACGTCTACAGCTTGATGAACCTGTAGCTTGGTCATTCCGATCAGCCTATCCTCAGTGCTTCGAAGTGTGGTCCATTTCAGCCTTTAGTCATCTTCAGTTTTTGGATCGCATGAAAATATTACTTTGGATTAATTAAAATGCCTCCTGAAACCCAATATCACACAGGCTAACCACCGAAAATAGGAAAGCGCTTTCTAATATTTACGCTGACATTCCCATTGTCATCCCTGCAATTTTGCAAAGTTGTCCGATCCTTTAATCAACAAAGTCCTTAAATTTTGAAAAATTGGAAGGTTGTCGAGTTGTCGCACGCCTTCCGACCATCTGCCAATGGTGCCACGTAAAGGGTTTCAGGTCACTAAGTATTGGGAGAAGAACGAAAATATTGACTTGTGAGGTTTCTCTTGATGTCCGCAGCTTGATGAACCTGTAGCTTGGTCATTCCGACCATTTTGAACAGCTCAGTGCTTCGGAACTTGGGATCAATTAAAATTCCTCCTGAAACCCAATAACACACGTGCTAATCAGTGAAAATAGAAAAACATTGCAGAATAATTTTTCCCACCTCGTCCTCAAAAATCAGTGCTCAAGTATATGTCAAGTCTGACAACCTACCGCTATAGTTGTGAAATCCATTACGTGTCTGACAATTAAAAGACTAAAGCATGAGACAAGGCAGACTAAAATGATCGTAAACGAGCTACAAATTTGCTATAGTTTGGTCAAATTGCTCTCACCCTTCGCATAACACGTTTTTCAAACGTTCGCGATTTCGGATGTTTTATTCTCGTTAAAACCAAGCAAAACATGTTAGTTTGTAATGTGTGGTGATTAGTGGCCGTTAATCGATACTTATTTAGAAATCGTGAGATGCGGTCTGGTGTGATGTAGGTTTCAGAAAAACATTTTCTTTCGTGCCAACGTTTCGATCTTTATTGAGATCATCTTCAGGACCTGGATTTACAAACATTGTTTACATATAACGCCGTATACAAAAATGTCTTTTCTATACCGACATCCTTCCCCACCCCTTCAAAATCCAACGTATCTAAACACAAAATAGCAAAATCTCACTGGCACTCTCGACACGACACGCAAGAATGGCACAATTACACAGAAGACAAACACTTTGAGTGAGTAGAAATACTTTGATGGAATATATAAAAAATATATTTTGCATTGTATAAATTCACTTTTCCACATCCAAAATGTAATTGTTATATGTAAACAATGTTTGTAAATCCCAGGCCCTGAAGATGATTTCAATAAAGATCGAAACGTTGGCACGATAAAGAAAATGTTTTTCTGAAACCTACATCACACCAGACCGCATCTCACTATTTCTAAATAAATATTAGTTTGTAATATTTAAGTGTGACTGGCATGGAGGATAAAATATTGGCGTGCATTACCACTCTACCACTCTTAGTGTTGGTTACGTTGGAACGAGATCTCATCCTGGATTCCAATTTTGTTTATGCTAGGCATTAAGTAGTGGCGCAATGTACCATATATCTGTTAGCATGATATCAAATTCCCAACCCCATGGTGTGAACAGTATCCCCAAACCGCTAGAGTAACCTATTTTTTCAGTTCTTTCTTAGGTCTTCTTCAAACTGTTCTGTAATCATCTGACCCGAACAAGTTAAACTTACTTTCATCAGCGAAAACATTCCCCCCAAAAAAATTGTTTGATAATAAATATACAATTTGGCAAATTACAAATGCTTCTTCCGATTTTTTCATTGGTTGAAATTGAAGGGAAATTAAAATATCGACTTTTGAGATTTCCTGATAAACTTGCACTTTAGTATCCGGTCATTTTGATCTGTCTATATTCGATTATTCGGTCCCTCAGGAACATTTTGGCCTTTCGCCGTTTTCACTGGTCCGTTTGTCTAAAAATATTGCCTCGGATCAATTAAAATTCCTCCTAAAATCCAATAAACAGGCCACCTAATGAAAAATAGCGAAAGCTAGTCTGAGACCCCAAGAAAGCTTTGTTTTTCTTATTGATCTTCCGTGAATTCTCGCGGGATAGTCAATTTTTTATTTTACACTAAAATTTGGATTTTAAAGTATCGTTGCGATAATTTACAAATCCGTGGATACAATTATAACGGCCGACCCGGCCACACTTGATTTGAGAGGAAAATTGTTATTTTGTAATTTCCTTCTTTTTTTCCATTAAGGATCCATTATTGCGCAGGTTTTTCAAGCCAAAATAGAATGCGTATTATTTATTTGCATTGACATTTCAAAAAAAATAAGTATTCCGGCTTGAATGTGTCACAAAAGGGGCCGAAACGTCGCTAAAAAAACTTCAACTTCTGTTTTGACTTTTTCAAAACCTACAATAGAAAAGTGTTAAAGAAAATTTGATTTTGTGATAACTAAATAAATATAATAAATTACACATGGCCCATTTTGTTGTATATTTTGCCATCTTCCAAATTCGATGCAAATCCTTCCGGACCCCTCAAATTTTACAAGCTACTAAATGACTCAAAATGTTTCCCATTGTGTGAGTTTTCTAGAGCTCATAAAAGAGGAAAATCTGACTTATGAATGCAGGAATATAAGGCGAGACAGGGTATACGGTCCAAATTCAACTATTTACCATCAACTTGTGTAATGAAGCTTAAATATTAAATCCATCAGATTTCGTGGTCCAATTGACCAAATAACTTCTTTCAATTAATTAATCTTTATGTAAAGTATTGGTTGAAATAAAAACTCCAGTGTCACAAGCGGGATTCGAACCCACGACCTTCGGCTAAATACGCCATTGCTCTACCACTTGAGCTATCGTGACTTCGATCCACTCAGACACAAACTTCCCATCTCACCCCACCTTTCAAATTTTTCCTCCTTAAATATTAACTTTTTTCCCGAAAAATAGGCACTTTTCTTTTATACACTTACAGGAATTTTCTCACTTATTACAAAGAGAAACTAATAAAGAATGATTTTCTTCCAATCCCTCGGCCATCTTAAGAAGTTTAGCTAATGATTCATAAATGGCTTATAGCTGATTTTTTTTTTTTTTTTTTTTTTTCATTGAACCTTCTAATAAAAGATTCTTCATTAATATATCATCCTAAACCATTCTTTTTCACCACTCCTGTCCCTTGCTTCAGCAGTTACTTTGATTTCTATGTATTCAATGGAGGCAACAATTAAATTCGTGGTCCGCTTGACCAAGTAATATCTTACAATTAATTAAGGTTTTTAGTTGAGATAAAATGGCAATAAAATTGAAAAATGGCAAAAAGGAGAGAAAATTCAAAAGGTGGGGTTGAGATGGGAAGTTGGTGTCCGAGTGGATCGAGGTGACGATAGATCAAGTGGTAGAGCAGCGGCGTATCTAGCCAAAGATCGTGGGTTCGAATCCCGCTCGTGCCATTAACTTTTTTATCTAAACTAAAAACCTTAATTAATTGGGAGGCAACAATTTTTTTAAACAAGATGGAGTCTTATTCTACTTCTGAAATTATTGTTTTTGTTAATTTATTGTATAAAAAATATGTATATACACAGCAGTAGTAAAGCAATGTTTCAAACTGGAGGTTTACCCATTTGTTAAAATATATAATTCTGCCCTATTACATATTGACAATTTATTTTTATTTACTTCTGTTTTCCAGTAAGAGAAATTGACGAATGGAGCCCATCGGACAAGAGAAATATCTGGGAACTCAGCGGCTTGTTCGAAGGAGACATCATGACCGATGGTAGCAATGAAGTTTCGAGAAACGCCCTGAGGGACTCTTCGGCCAAGTGGCCCGGAGGGGTTGTGCCTTACCACATTAGTGACGATTTTGGTACTAAACTTTTTTTCTTCCTAACAATATTTAATTTTTTTTTAAATTATGTATAACGATTGATGACAATCAGTTTGGTACAAAATTAAAATGTAACTATGACCATCTGAGATGGTATTGCTCAATATATAGAAGTCAATTTAACCAAAGAAAAATTTATAATTTCATTAAAATTAAATTGTTTTTATATATTAACTAAAGATATTTGGGATTAATGACAATTTTAGGATGAAAATTTTAATTAGAATAAAACTCGTTAATAATTTTATACATTCAACAGTAATCACGTTAGTAGTGTAATTTGTTTGATTATTGGCTTTCGTGTTTAATGTTATTTTGATTTTAAAAACAATTCTCCAACCTTCTGTATTTGTTGTGGTTATCATCTCCTCTTTTATTTTTATTTGTTTATTTCTTATTTGTTTTATCTCTGTTTTTTATTGCAACCTTTTTCCTTTTGTTAATTATTATTTTTCTATTTAAACAAAAAAACATGTTATTGACGTACAAAACCATTTGCGTAAATTTATTAGAATTGTTGTGTTTGTAAAAACCAGTCTTAAAAAATTTATGTTGGGAAAAATTAAACTTTTCAGTGGCAATTCATCCGTTGCTATGAAGTTTAATTATTCTCAAAATCAATGTACATAGCTAATATTATTTGTATGGATGAAAGCACTTTCTATTCTTAGCGATAATCGCAAATGGTTTTTGCCAACAGACATTATTATTTACGGTATTTTGACGACTGGCTCAACTTCTGAAGTTAACTTACCATTTCAATATATATGGGCAGAAGTTATATCATGAACAAAATTATATTTTTCTATTATGATCGTTTTTATCTGATATTATATTAGAACTGCTGATTTAATTGCAGTTAGTTATGCAAAAAATTACATGAAAGTTAAATTTTTTTTAACATTGCAAAGCACACAATCATGTGTACATTAAATTTTCCAATGATTAACCCGACATAACAAAGGCTTTTGAAAAATATTTTATATTTAAAATCCCATGGGGGGTTTACCAAGTCTCTTGAAAATTTGAAGGAAGAATTTGGAATTAATTTTATTAAATTAAAATCCCTCATCCATTGTAGTTTGCTTGTATTACAATTTAAGATAAATGGAAATGATTTTTCCAGATGAAGATGAGGTACAGACAATAATGGGTGCTATGGAAGAATTCCATGAAAATTCTTGTATTCGCTTTAGGCCGTACAAAGAAGGAGACACGTCTTGGGTCTCGATACAAGCCGACTCTCCTGGTTGCTGGTCATATGTTGGCCGAAGAGGTGGAGGTCAAGTGGTAAACCTAGGAAAAAGATGTGTGCAGCATGGCGTAGCTGCCCATGAACTGCTTCACGCTCTTGGTTTCCACCACCAGCAAAGTGCTTCCGATAGGGACAAATACGTGACCATTCATTGGAAAAATATTAGGCGAGGTAGGAACTTCAAATTGGCACCATTAACGCACAAAAAATTTAAATAATTCATTGGTCTATTTCCTTCTGTAGGTACGGAGAAAAATTTCAAGAGGTATAGTTCCGGGAGGATTACAGATTTTGATGTCGGCTATGATTACGATAGCGTTATGCATTATAGCTCGCACGCGTTTTCCAAAAATGGTTTCCCAACCATAACGCCCAAAGTAAGTACAACTGTCAGGAAGTTCAGCCAGTCGTCGATCCTCAACAATAGGAAATTAATATTTAATCGTTGTTTTAGGAGGAAGGGGCTACAATCGGCCAAAGGTCTCGACTTAGTGATAAAGATTTAGAGAAGCTTAGAATTATGTACGACTGCTCTTCATCGCCTTCCACTGTTACAACAGAAATACCTGATTACGATTTCTGGGGATTTCATTTTAGATAATTTTTTGTTTTTAATTTTATCCTCTTGTTATCTATTTATAATATTTGTTTTGTTTGTGTGTAAATTTCTGTCTTTGCAATTTGTTTTCTTGCATTAACTAGTTTTGATATTTGAATTAAAAGACCCTAAATTAAATAAATTATAAACATATCTCAAATGGAATAATGGATTAATTTTTTTTAAATGATTGATTGATAAATGTCATCAAAAGGTTTGAAGCTTGCACGTAATTGTATCAATAAAAATCATAATTTAAAAAAATAGTTTGTGATCAATTTTTAGTGTAAAAACAACACAAATAAAAAATGCAATATCAAAAATAGCCATTTACTCTAGATATAACCCGTATGTGTATTCAGTAGTCATAATTGACCATATTAATTATTTTAATTAATTGTACTTTTAACCTGAGGTCTTGGTTGAGATGAAAAAGCAAGTGTCACGAGCGGGATTCGAACCCACTTGAGTCAGATAACTCAAGTGATTAGAGCAGCGGTGTATTGAGCTGAACATCATGGGTTCAAATCACACTCATGACACTTGGTTTTTCTTCTCAACCAAGACTTTAGATATAACATTAATCAACATTGTCTTAGAATAAAAGGTAGACAATGGCATTTATTCTTACTTTTAATCCAAAAGTACAATAATCATTTTTCAACCCCTCCCGCATGATTTTATAAAATTCACTTTTATTGCATTGGTTTTAATATTTTTGTTTATTTTCATTTTTTACGCGACCCATAACATGAATCCCAAATCATCGAGGAACAGAGTTGTTTGATAATTTTACCCCTTAAAGTTAATTAAACTGTGATTGGATCTGGTAGTGGTTAAGGCGTTTGACTCATATTTGCTAGGCTCAAATACTTCTGATCCTTCTTTCCTTTTAACCATTTAATAATAAAATCATAGTGAAGTGATACACACAAGATTAAGGATTGGCCATTGTAGGATAACTAAGGGTCATCTAATGGCTAGAGAACTACCCCCAGTCTGTCTTTCTTGTGATGGACTATTACAAAACACATTCTTCAGCCCTATCCAATCTATTCAGCTTACAGACACCATATCTCTTATCTGCAAACCCTCTATGACATACAAAGAGGCGATTCATATTCCAAAGACCAACTATTTCAATTTCTTAAAGCTGCTAATTTAATAACAAAATCTAAATTAACGTGGACTTGGTCGTTTGTGTGGTGGGACTTCCTCGGGGAAACCTCTTAGAGGAGGTGGATGTCCTACAGAACAGCCAAAATAAAATTTAATACAGCAATAACATCAGCCCTTTCTATTGTGGCTGGTACTCTGCACTTCCTCCTCTCTGGAACCGTAGTCTCTCTGGCTATGCACACACGGTGAAAAGACTGCATAAGGAAATTTTTTAAGGCAGCTCTGACCCTTGCAGCTGTATACTACAACTTATTGTACTTTACTAGCTCCATTTTTTTTTTTTTTTTTTTTGGGGGGGGGGTTTGAATTTTGAGCGCCCGGTGAGTGGTGTTCTTCCATTGAAGAAACTCATTTTTAAAGGAGGTTGGGACCAAATTCAGGCTTGCTGAGATCCGACGAAATGAAATTCATGGACAGCACCTCAGCTAATCAAAATGGGGAAAAGGCCCTCCAAAGTCATCTGCTAACAATTACAGCTCAGAAAAACTAAAAGGTGGGACTTCAACTATGTCTGTTTGTAGACCCCTCTGAAGAACAACCATTATAAAAGAAAAATTGGGGTAAGGAAGAATTTCAGAAGGGGGGGTGGTGTCACGACTCAGGAGATCGCGCGACATGGGAACCGTGGAAGTGGGGGCGTGTCCCCCCTTTTTCAGCGGGAAAGGAGACTCCGCCGCAAATTGGAAAATTGACCATCCCTAACCATCCCTAAACAATTAGCGTTAGATGCGCCAAGGACGTTGTCGGAGAAAGATCTGCTCTGCAAGTTGAGTGCAGAGTAATAAAAATAAAACAAATCAAGGCATACTTTGAAAATATTTGTTTCTTACAATTGTAATAATTTCATTTCTAACAATATAGAATTACTTTTAGTTTTAACATTTTAATTAAAATCCCTAAATCCGTAATTTTTGTGTACCATACCTTCTTTTCCACCATCTCGTAAGAGCAAGACAGTACAGCATACCAGTGCTGTATCAATTTTTTTCCATTGTGGCCACTGGTCTCCTTAGGTGTGAGAAAAAAAATCCAGAAGTGATGGTGGAAGTACTAGCCAAGAGTCTGACTCCTTAACCACTTGGCTACCATCCCTAACCATACTATTAATTAAGGATTTTAGTGGAGTTAAAAAAGTCAATGGCATGAGCAGGATTCAAACCCACGATCTTCAGCTTGATACGCCGCTGCTCTACCACTTGAGCTATCGTGACCTTGATCCACTCGGATACCAACTGAGCTCGTGCCATTAACTTTTTTTCATCTCAACTAAAATCCTTAATTAATTGTGATATATTAATCGCTCAAGCGGACCACGAAACTAGTGAATTTAATAAGTTTAAAATGAAGTATCCTTCACTAAATTTCATTTGTCACCGAGAATCAAATTGATTACACGACATTTGAAAAATGGCAAAAAGGAGGGAAAATTCAAAAGGTGTGGTTGAGATGGGAAGTTAGTGTCTGAGTGGATCGAGGTCACGTTAGCTCAAGTGGTTAAAGCAGCGGCGTATCAAGCCAAAGATCATGGGTTCGAATCCTGCTCGTGACATTGGCTTTTTTATCTCAACTAAAAACCTATATTAATAGTTTGCTAAATGTTACCCTACACAAGTCTGGCAGATTGCTTATGCATACCTACAGGGGCAGGTCAGTACTTCAAAGAAATTTTTCCTCTGATCAAAAAAAAAGCTGTGGTATCATGGGGAATTCCACGATAAAGCACAGACAAATGCAATAAACAGGTTACTTACCAACCATGGAGTTTGCATCAAGTATCTCAATAAAACAAGAAGGAATCTTGCCTTTGTTCCCGGATGTGCAGTAATAACGAGGACCTGCAGCACACAATAATAAATTGCAAAAGTCCCAAGAAGAAAGAAGTTTTGCTTAGTGGCCGATCACGATTACAAGTCCATCCTTGCCTCAGACAAAAAAAAATTATTTTCAAATTTATGTTAAAAACAAAAATTAAAATTGTAAATAGATAAATGATAGCGAAGTTCTAAATTTCTCTAGAATCCGCTAAATATCAATTTTTTCCAGATTGCAGTCCATCAACATCTCACATGTAATGAAAAAAAAAAAAATGGAAAATTCAATCCTTATAATTCCTTAACACTTTAACACTTACCAGCCCACAACACTTGTAAGTCAATTACAAATCAATTAATGTTTATGTTTAAATAAATGACAATAAGGCGATATTTTGAAATTAATTATAATTGTACAAGAATAGAAGGAATTAAATTTAAATTTTATACAAACGAAATAAATCAAATATAAAATAAGTTTACAGTTTTAATAAAAACAAAGAGAGAAAAAAACATAAATTGTCTAAAGCGAAAAACTCCGGGTGAGGTCAGCAAGTGGAGCGGCGAGTCACAAACAAATGCAGAGAAATCGGCACGTACAAAAAAAACGGTCGCAAATAAATTGCGGATGTACTTGTACATAAAGTCTTTAAGCTTGCGGCTTGCCTCGAACACGTGCTGTAGCGAAGAAGACGTCTCTGGACATTGCTGCATACTAAGATTATGTAAATGTATAAAGAATTGTATATAGTATGGATGTATATATTAAATAATCCAAATATAAAAAAATGAACTAATCTACTCACACACCTTTACTCTGAAAATCCACTTGTCCTACAGTCTATTTCAAAGGAAAACCCATTCCAACCTAATATTTTGTGCTACTTGGAACTATACGTTAGCAAGACTAACATGGATTCTACAAATTACTTATTAGATCACTTGATCTTAGATCAACTTCCATCTTTCGAACAAACTCACTATTTACACTCTCCAAGATCGATATGGATTTACATGAAGTTTAGGGATCAACAAAAATCCAATATATCCAGTCACAAATACTACTAAACTTTCCACGATATTGCACCCTTAGTGATGATGGTTCCATTTCCGATCTGTTTGCTTTTCTCAGGGAATCGGCGCTAATGTCAAAAATATAGTGTCATTTCATTGATGTTGAGTCCGGTATCGGGAACGCGTAGAAATAGTATTGAATTTAATTGACTTTTTTTCGGCTCGTGATCAGCGGGGTGCGGGGCCGTGTGGCCGGTCGGGGGCGGGGGGCGCCGGAGGAGCCTACAAGGGCGAAATGAAGCCCGAGGCCTGTGATGGATGTGGGAGTGGGGGCGCAGCACCCGCACATCCATCGGAAGGCCTAGTAGGACAACAGAAGTAAGGAAATACTACATCCAGCGCTCTTTCGCCCTTGCGCCGGACTCTGGCCTACGACACTTGTGTACCTTATGGATCATTATCAAGGCAAAAAATGACCCAAATGGTTGAATTGCCTTTATTTTTATATAAAAAAAAAACTTTCCCCGTTTCAAACCAAACAATCCACATTAACCTACACATCCCATTTTTAATAGATTTAAATCCCGATTTAAAAACTTGCACAAAAATTTACAACTTCATCCCAATCCACTTGTCCAACAGATTTCTTGTCGCAACATTTCTGGAAATCTCTCACCTGTAGCCAAGAGATTATCGACTCAATGTGCAGTATGTTTGTTGTAGTTTGTGTAGCACGGTAAATTTTCGCTAAATTATCTCATCCACTTGTTCACATTTGTACAAATCTTTATAAACAAACAAAAAAAGAAGTCCATCTGTAAATCAAGAATTTCAGCACAATAGTAGACAGTTTTCTATATAAAACTTAAACAAAAATTTTTAATACACATATATTTACAACACAAACATATATATATCACAGTTAATATTAGAGCTCAAAGTTGAGACTGCGTTCACAAGCATTCATCACTAGGTCAGTAACATTTTAAAATTCCACGTAGACAAACGAATACATTATTTAAAAGTTTTGCAAATTCCATCATCTTGGTATGCCTATCCTTGCTGTTTTGTCTGGTCAGACGTGTTTCAGCTTCTCAATTCTCAATTTACTCTCAACTGTCGGAACATAACAATCGATAGAATTACTAAAAATATTTTCTTAGATAAAACTTATAAATATTATACATAACTAACAACAAACAGTTAATAATTACAATTTACAATATACATTTATTTATATTATGAAAATAATTTGACTTGTTAACGACTTAAAAGACAAAATTGAAATATCACATACATTCCTGGTTTAATTTACTTATTATTAATTCACTAATTCTCACTCTGATCACAAGTTAATTGTTAATTTCTATTTTTTAGCATCTTCCACAATAAATAACAAAATACAGTAGGCTTTTATTATCTGTGGGGGGGGGTTACAAACCAAGTATCACCTCGAATTTCAGGCTTCGAAACGTTTTCTTCTTTCTGAATCAACTTATATACACATTTTTCAGGTTTCTTCAACAAGAAAACTATGGTAACATATATAAAGTTTATTTTGTGAAGGAAAACAATATGTACATGCATGCAAAAGCACGTTTTTTTTTTTTTTTTTTTTTTGCCAACGTTCCGACCTTTATTCGGGTCATCTTCAGGGCATAAAGTGTGATGCTTTTCTTGTGGTGTCACACTGATGTGTGAAATTGTTGTGACAAAACAAAACAAAAAAAAGGATAACTGCAGATTTTTTTGAAGAGGCTTTCACTCGTCCCTGAAAGCATAGATAAAGATAGTCTATGAATCATCAGATCAATAGTTTTTTTTCTGAAAGACAGAAAAATTTAACATACACGTACAATTTCATTAATTTACTCTTTTCGCTAATTGACAACAATGAAAATCCGAAAAATCTATTATTATTGGCTATTATTGTTCTAGTCTAGTCTATCATTCTAGTCGCTAAATTTGTAAGTTGAATTTTCAGCATTAAAAACAATAAAACTTCATCGTTAAGCAGGAATCAAGTCTAAAACTCGATGTGGTATTAATTTGTAAAACTTTTACTTTCATCAGTCTTGTTAAAATCAAGAGACACAATTTATATTAAGCTATAACCTATTTTAACTTTCGCCTAACCACATTTTTTGATTTTGACTGCATTTCTGAAGATCTTCCAAAACCTCTGCGGCCATCTGAAAATTAATTTTATTTACAAATTTATGTATGTGAAATTGTATGGTGTCAAAAATGCAAACTTACCGAATTAATGCTCTCCTTAGAGCTTTTTATCAATGATTCCAAGTCCTTTTCTAGACTTTCAGGACAAAGCAATTCCAGTGTGTCGGGGCAAACTTCTAACATGAGTTTAATTAATGCCAAAGTTCTCATACTCAAACACTCTGTGTTTAAAGTCAACATAGCTTGAAATTCCACGTCTAAATTTACAAAAATAAAAAATTATAAACGAGTTTGGGCAAAAAAAAAATTATAAATACAACATACCGGGGCTTTCAAATCCTTTCACAATATCAGTGATGATGTGAGAATATTCCTTTAGTTTTCGAAGTATTTGGCATAAAATGGAAATAATATTCGCCACGAGTCTGACTTTTTTTTTCTTTAAACACAGAAGATAGACAAGATGTGAAGAAACACACAGAGACGTGCAAGTCTCGCAGAATTGTTTTAGAAAACAGACATCAGTGTGTACAAGGTTTGTGATGAGAAGATAGATCGTTTCAAGAGCTTGCAAATGTTCAGAAGACAAGTCATTTGACTTATCTACTCTTTTTAATATGATAACGCAAGCGAATATCATTTTAGAAATAAGCCGTGCCTCGTAATAAACCTAAAAACATAAAGTAATAGAACAATAGACAACAAAAAAATTAAATTAATTCCTACCATCCTTAAATTTTGCAGTTCCTTCTCTGGTATCGAGTCGACAGTAAACGGCATGCAAAATAAACTCGCAATATACTCAACGACAGTAGCACAACTTGAGCTCAAAGCACGACACACCATATTTAAAAAAGCGGGGTCTTTTACTGATTGTATGTCACCTTCCATAACTTCCTCCATGCTTTTTTGCAAAAATACCAACCATTCTTCGGACTGCAGAGGTGAATCGTTATTGCCATAATTTAATGCTTCCTTCAGTTCTTCCTGTTAAAGAGTTAAAAATTAAAATGGATGCATTAAACCACTGACTTGAGTATATGGTAACAATGGATTACCTCTAATTTGTTATCTTCCTTTTGGACTTTTGAAATATTAAGTTTTTGGACCTGTTGTTCGATATCATCGATCCCGTAATTTATATTCTTCACGATTTGTCCAATGCCAAAATTTGAGCCGGGTTTTATTTGATTTCCACATTTATCCAGTAATTGTCTGTAAAACAATAAAATGTCAATTTGAGTAATCCTAAGTGTGTTAAAATATACAAGCAAACAATAAAACGAACTTAAGATGTTTTGACGATTTCAAATCTTGTTTTTGCAATTCTTTCGCCTTTACTTGCGAAGATGTGAATTCAGCAGTTAACGGCGTCTTGGCTCCTATAAATTATTAATTACAGTAGAATATAAATAATATTATCACCAGATCCTCATTTCACTTGGTTGTTTCATGGAACACAAAAACACAAAAATCTAAAAAAAAATTTATTGTCTTTTTTGATGTAAAACGACCTGCTGTGTCAATTAGAATAAGAATTAAACATCTAATTATAAATAATATACATACATCAACATTATATTTTTTAACTACTTATATCTTTATTGCATATACTATTTTTTATTCCGCTGCAAATGGCAAAGAGCAGCTCAAAGATCCTAGTCTCAACCAATTTTTTTTTTTTTACAATTTTCAAAACAAAACATTCCATATAATAAATTGTTTGATTACTAAGGCTACATTTTGTCAAAAGTTTCCATAAAACTGGTTTTAATACACCTTAAATTCAGCTATCTATCTATCTAGCTTAAATACAAATAGTAGAAAAAAATGTTTATAAAAGAAAGCAAAATAAATAAAGAAAAACATTACTTATACCTTTTTCATAAATTATGAGTATGTTTCCTTTGACAAAAGGATGTTCCAGAAGTTGTGGCCACTTAAGTCTCTGCGAAGGGTCTTTAATGAGAAGCCCTTTAAGTAAACTTTGGCATTCCGGTGATGTGAACTCAGGGAGCTTCACCGGTTCGAATCTGATTAACCTCGCCAAATGCAGTATCGAGGTCGTAGTGAAGGGCGGAGTCCCGACTAGTATTTCATACGCGATGCATCCAAGCGACCTGAAATTCGCAGATTAAATTTTGCCAGACGCATTTTTCAACAAAAATTTTATTCGTTTTAATGATCTGATTTCCCGGTTATAATGCAATGTGAGATTTAAAAAAAAAAAATTTTTTGTCAAGTATATACACACAAAATAGGCCTTAAAAAAAGAAATTTTTTCAGTCATGTGAGTGACTGGTGATTGTCATGATGACTACACGAATGGGATGCTGAACTAGACTGCATCGTACTTTTGCTCATAAACAACTGTGCTACAAATCCAAAAAAAGTTGATGTGCAAAACATCAAGCTAGTGTTCTTGCTGCCAAACACTACCAGTGAATTATACCTATCGATCAAAGTCCTGAAGTAAAGCTACAGAAGGATGGTACAAAAATACGTATTAATAATGGACAACTCATCTACAACTTCGCCAAAAATTTCTATTTTAAACACCATCCATTTTTTGCACACTACATGGAGAAGAAACAATTCTGAATTTTTTAAAGAAAGCAGGAGGAATTTAGAATGTCAAGAAACAACGAAAAGTTGATAGTTTTCTTATTTATAATTTTCACATTTTAACTTTTTTTTGAGCATAGATGAATGACAAAACTTGGTAAGACTTTATAACCGCAGACATTGGTTGGACAGTTTTGATGTTTTTGGTGATAATTTTGTGACCAGCGAAACTTCAACCACAATTGAGCTCATTTCTTTTTTTTTTTTTTAATTATTTTATGTACAACGTGTAGGTATAGTACGAAAAAATTATACAGTGAATTTAAAGTAATGAATCTATACCAAATCTTTCTTAAATGTCCGTGTTTGTATATACATAAAAATAATCTTGTAACTAGTTACTTCAGTGAATATAACACAAGACACAATTAATCACTTTTTAACTCAATTTTTTCAAGGTAAAAATATCACAATATTATAATTTTTTTTAAATAAAGAGCGGAACATTATCAAAAATTTCAAAAACTACAGAGAAAGCATAAAATTTATATTTTCAAAAAAAGCCAAGATTTTTATTTTTTTTTTATTCAGTGTTAAGTTTGTTTATCATTATGCTTTTGTAAAGATATATTCTGATTATTTCTCTGATCATCTCCAAAAATGCCTGCTGTGTCTAGTACAAGCTTTGCTTTTTGACAGCAAGCAGGGATGTACCAATTTTTTTTTTTTTAAATTATTTATCTCAGTGCATTGAAGCATGATAAAGAAGAGGATGATGATACACCTGGAACATTCGTGCCAAAAACAGCAGATGTTTTGGATGCGATCAAAATGCTTGGCACCTTTTTCTCTTGTAACTTGACTGTTTAAAAATATATATATAATTACATATTTTTGGTCCAAGCACATGTAATATGTAATTGAATAAGTAAATTTTGTTTTATTTTATGTATATGTACTACCCACATACACACTTTTATACGTTCTAAGTTTTTAAATAAATTTTGATCATTTTAAGCTGCGCTTTTATAATTTCCTGGTTTTAGGACTTTCCCGGTTATAGTGCTGTTTTGCCTTGGACCTCAGAAAAGCGTTATAACGAAGTTTTACTGTATTTACCATAAATCAGCAGTATGATCGTAAGGAGATTCTTCCATTAACTCGGGTGCCATATAAAGGGGGGTTCCTTTAATCGAAGTCAGCAGGTGTGTACTCAGACTCATATTCCGTGCGAATCCAAAATCACAAAGTTTGGCCGTACCATTTTTACACAAAAGTACATTCTGCGGTTTTAAATCCCTAGATATTAAAAAAAAAAAATTAAAGTTTTAACACAATTTTAAGATCATTTTAAGCAAATGTTTTACCTGTGTAAAACTCTGTTTGAATGAAGATAATATAGTGCAGATATGAGGTCGAAAATTATTTTTTTTGCTTTATCCTCATGCAAATAGCCTTCAATGGATAACAGAACGTATAAATCTTGATAAGCGAACTCTGTGATGACGACAATCTGGAATAGTTCAGCATTAGATCAAATTCACTAGTTTTCATGGTCCACTTGACCCATTAATATCTTTCAATTAATTAAGGTTTTTAGTTGAGATAAAAGTCAGTGTCACAAGAGGGATTCGAACCCACGACCTTCAGCTAGATACGCCACTACTCTACCACTTGAGCTATCGTGACTTTTAGATTAGATCAAATATTAATCCATTTCTGTTTAGTGGTCTAATTGTCCAAAACTTATTTCAATTAATTTTTCTTTTTAGGTAAGGTCTTGGCTGTTTTTCCCCTTTTCTGGAGGCCAAGTTATAAACTAATTGGTGCAATACCAATCAATCAACATTTAAAGGCAATTTGATTGAAATTGATCCTAATACAATTATCTTTTTATGTAAGCTTGGTTGAGATGAAATAGTTATTGTCACGAGCCAGATTCGAACCCATGATCTTCGGCACAATACACCACTATTCTAACCACTTAGTTATGATAGCTCAAGTGGTTAGAGTAGCGGCGTATGAACAGAAGGTCATGGGTTCAAATCCCGCTTGTGACACTAACTTTTTCATTTCAGCCAAGTCGTAAAAAGAATAATTAATTGAAATTAGATCAAATAAAAAAACGAAGTCAAATAAATAACCCACCTCGTTATCGGTCTCGAAAGATTCAATCATCCTGATAATATTCGGATGGTTGAGATGCTGCTGGATTTCACATTCGGTTCTCAGGCCGGTCAATTCTTTGGTAGACTTCCCATACTGAAAGTCAATTAAAATTTAAATAAAATATCAACAGGTGCATCAAAAAGATCAAATTGTTTAATCGGGTTCGAATTAAATTCGATAAGGAAAAATAAAAGATCACCTTTCCAATAAGTTTCATAGCTACAGTCTCATAATTGTCCTTCCTTCTCGCCTTATAAACCCGGCCGAACGAGCCTTCCCCGATCATACAGATGATCTTGTAGTCTCTCATGTCCAATTTTCTCCTTAAAAATATTAAAATGGGTCTTACACGATTATACTGATAATATCAGCATTGTAGTTCGTTGACAATTTGAAATCAGCATTCAGCAGACTGCCAGACTGCAAGCCGTAAGCATAGGGTATCATCATCCTAACCATCAACATTCAACAGTATCAACATTAAAACCTTCCTGCTGAAGCTGAAAACAGTACTGTTTAGTTTTCCCTTTAATTTGTTTTATTATTTTAATTAATCAATTTTGGCGCTTTTAATCATGATTTAGTCGTACTAGAAAGATTTTGTTTTAATTTTAAAAATCCTAATGATATGAATCAACGTCAGGCGGTAAAATGACCGTTTCTTTGAAATGGAACATGGACACCCTTCTGGGGAAGTTCAACGTGAACAGAAAGAATGTGACATGTTTTTGCTTTCCTGACCGTCTCGACGTCGAGGAAGACGGAGTCACCCTGGCACTCCTCACAGACGACAACAGGTTTCTGGAAATAACCGAAGAAGGGGTGTCTTCCAAGTTGGCTTTCAGTTTCCCTATAAACTCACCAGAGAAAATCACCATATTTTACAGTTACGAGCCTAAATTTAAATTCTATATCATTCATGTCAAGCCTGATGTGCTGGTGATACTGAAGAAAAGCGACAAGTTGAGCCTGTGCAGGAGGATGACCGATGTAAAAGATTACACGATTGACGACAGCCTTTGTTCCGGTAAACCGCAAGTGGTAGTGTCCTTCGTTGGTAAAACCCAACCGTTAGTTACCGACTTCTTAGACGCTTTTGAGAAAGAAGTGGGGCCGAAGACGATATCCGGTGTCGGTTTGACATTTTCCTCAGAGATGAATGCCATGCGCCTCAGGATAAAGCGCCAAGAACAACTCCTGTTACATAAAAAAACTGTGATTTCCAGGATGTCATCGTCATTGATAGAAAATTCATGTTCACCGATCAAATTCGCTTATCACAACTTGGTGTGTGCACTTGATGGGCTACCTTCAACCTCATTTAGCACCCTGCCAAAAAATCTAACCCATAGAGGTGCTGTGCTGAAAGTATACAATAATAACTGGATAGTTTGTTTTCAGATCGTGAACAACCACAAAGAAACTGTTAGCAGTGTGCAAATCTACATTGCGAATCAGCAAGTCATCACAAGAAGAACCTGTTTGTTCAAGCGATCAGGGGAAGACAGATTCAATTATAAAAAGTGTACTTGTTTAGCTTCTAATGAAAACGGATACTTAATTGCCATTCTAGACGAGCCTGTATTATTAAAAAACAAAATCTACCTTGAGTGCATTGTCCGGTATAGATTACGCACAAATGATGAGATGTTTCAGTCTCATCTGGGAGAAATTGTCGTCGAGGCTGGAGAATTGGTCAACGGTGAATTTACACTTTTCAAACGAGGTTTAACCGTTGAAGACATCATCGCATTGATTTCCGTTTCGTACGAATGTACGCTGTATTCTGATGGAATTGCCCAGGACGAAGTCAGTCAAGCTCTTGTCGAAGGATTAAAATTCAAGCAAATCTCCCTGGGTTGCTATTTAAAAGATTCTTTTAACAATTGTCTCATCATTTGTTCAGAAGATTGTTACCGGTTTTACACATTCGATAAGAGCAAGTTTTTAATACTGTTCCAGAATCTCAAACTCTTATTGGGAGATGTGTGTTTTAATGCGGAATCTGGAAACGCACAGCGTTCCGCAGTAGCATTGCAAAATGAACTGCAATATTTAAAAGTTCTTCTGTTTGAACAATTAATCTCTTCTGACTGTGACAAAAAAGAGTACGAGTACAATGAAGATGTTCTTAAGAGATTAACAGACTTGGAAATAGAAACTGTAAAAAACATTTCTAGGCTTACATAACAAACACATATTGTATCTTCTTATACTTGGGGAGAGATGATAAAAATTGTAAATAACAGGTTAATTGTGAGATTTCTTTAGTATTTGCTAAACAAAGTCTGTAGTTTAGTTATATTTATCAATTCATTAGTTCCATCACAAATAATGATCAGAAACAATCAAATTATGTTAAAAAAATTTTTTGCCAAATTATAAAACACCATTGAAAAAAAATATATATTTTACATCTAAAATCCAACTTTATACGTTAACAAATTATTTTAAATCTAAAATCCAACTTTTTATGTTAATTATTCAGAAATCGTGAGATGCGGTCTCACGATTTCTGAATAATTATCGATTAACGGTCACTAATCACCACACATTTTTATGTTAACAAATTATTTTACATCTACAATCCAACTTTGTATGTTAACAAATTATTATTATTTTTTAACAAATTATAAAATCATTGAAAAAATATATATTTTACATCTAAAATCCAACTTTGCATGTTAACAAATTATTAATTTTTTCCCAAATTATAAAACTTGAAAAAAAAATTATTTTACATCTAAAATCCAACTTTGTATGTTAACAAATTAACAAATTATTAATTTTTTCCCAAATTATAAAACCTTTGAAAAAAAAATTATTTTACATCTAAAATCCAACTTTGTATGTTAACAAATTATTATTTTTTAACAAATTATAAAACCATTGAAAAAAATATATATTTTACATCTAAAATCTAACTTTGCATGTTAACAAATTATTAATTTTTTCCCAAATTATAAAACCTTTGAAAAAAAATTATTTTACATCTAAAATCCAACTTTGTATGTTAAATTATTTTTTTACAAAATTCCAAAATCATTTAAAAAAATTATTTTACATCTAAAATTAAACTTTATATGGTAACAATTTTTTTTTACCAAATTATAAAATACCATTGAAAAAATATATATTTTTTTTTACATTAGATATTTTACATCTAAAATCCAACTTTGTATATTAACAATTTTTTTAAACAAATTATAAAACCATTGAAAAAATATATTTTTTACATCTAAAATCCAACTGTATTTGAACAAATTATTTTTTTACCTTTTTGCCAAATAGTAAAACCATAGGAAAAAAATTATTTTGCATCTAAAATCAAACTATATGTTAACAAATTATTTATTTATTTTTTAAACTATTTATAAAATCATCGGAAAAAAAAAATTTTACATGTAAAATCTAACTTTATGTGTTAACAAATTATTTTTTTACCAATTTACAAAACCATTAAACAAAAATTTTTTTTTACATCTAAAATTCAACTTTATATTCAATGTACTGGAGAAAATGTAACATGATTGTACGTATCTAACAAAGTCTGCATAAGACGTCTGTAAAAGATTCAGAACCAAGCTCTTTATTTCCTCCAGGAATTATACTGAAGTACTCAAAAATCGGATGAAGACTATTCTCTCTGCCCAAACTTAAAGTTCGAGCTTCGAAGAAAAATTATCTTACTATCCTTCGGTTGGAAGTTGCTTAACAATGGAATGGATATCCTCTCCAAGGATTGAGAATGGCCCACTTTTCCATATGGATTTTTACCGGACCTGCTTTTCATGGGCAAGTGGTGCTCCTATATTTATAGCTTATTTTAACTTTTTACTTTATATATAATTTTTATTTTGAGTTTGAGCTGTAAGAAATAAAATGTCTACCAGTCTGACGAACAGTTGATTGTAATTTACCCATATTGTTTGATCAAAATCATAAATCCATTAAAATAAATTCTATAAGGTTTAAATTTATGAAAGTGTAATTGAATGTGTTTTTATAAAGTTTTTATTTTATTATTTATCGTCTTAATAAAATTATAAGTATATTTACAAAAGATATCCATAATTTAAATTCAGTGATAAAAATTGTGCTAAAAAATCAAGAAGCATTTTTTGAAGGCAATCGTTCAAAAAAAATAATTAATTCATAATGATTGGTCATCGGAAACATGTCGACTGGGATTGCGGCAACAGGCACAAACGGATCTCCCAGCAATGTCTTTGACGGTGCGCGACCCAGTTCTGTGAAGTTGTTCAATGCAGACTTAGCATCGCAGGCCAAATATACAAATCTTTGAAGGTTTTTGGCACTCCTTAGTTTTTGAACAGCGTATTTATCTGTCAAAAAACAAAATAAAAATACATAAATGCGTTGTTTTTTTTTTTTTAATATGATTATGACAAGAGCATACGTAAACCAGCTCTCGGAGGATCAACAATAGCGACGACTTTTGCATCCTCGTTTGCTTTTTTTAAAACCGACGTTAAAATATCATCAGCCTTTCCAGTGAAAAATGTGCTGTTTTGAATATTGTTCATTTTCGCATTTTCCTGGGCATCTTTTACAGCTTGTTCTAGTACTTCTATCCCAAAGACTTCTTTACAATCCTAAAATTTAAAAAAAATTCATATCTAGAAACTAGAAATTTAATATTTTTACGTACGTTTGCAAGGCAAAGGCCAAGTGTGCCAGTCCCACAGTAAACATCCACGACAATAGTTTCCTTATCAATATTAGCAAGATCTTTGATGCACTTCACCAACAATTCAGCACAACGTGAATTGATTTGAAAAAATGATTCTGGTGAAATTCTGAATCTAAGCCCGCATAAAATCTCTTCGATGTGTGTCTTTCCATAAAGTAATTCTGGTGAATAACCTTTTTGACCTTTTTCGCTAACAGAATAATTTTATCTCAATTAATTTTTTCCTTTGCGTCATGTTACTAATTGAAACATACTTCCTAGGCATTAATCTAAAATACAATGAATCTACTTTCAGACATTCACTTTCTTGTCTAAAAAATTCTTTTATTTTCTCTTTCACATCTTTGATTTCATCGTCTGACAGTTTTTGCGGGTCGAATCCGACCAACAGCATCAGTTCGTCTGTCTGCGTCCCGACACGGACAGTCAGCATTTTCCAATTTCCTGTAAGCGTTTTTGGCGAGTACGGCTCGTATTTGGATTGACGGATGAATTTTTCAAATGCCTGTAATGTATAATTTTTATACCAATTATTTTGAATGAATGTTAATTTAAAAAAATTTACTTTGGTGGCTTGGACCATCACATTAGGAATGATCTTAATATCTTCGGCTGAAACCACTGTCACACTCCCACTTGCATAGGTGCCCAGCCTAAAGCCAACTGTCTTCTTGCCTGTCAACTCGTTTCTCGCTATTAAATAATTTATTTCATTTTTTTTTTTTTTTAATTTAACTCAAAGTTTAAATTATTTTAGTACCAATTGAAAACTCGCACTTGTTTCTGTAACGTTCAGTAAAATCTTTTAAGGATTGAATTCCAAGTAATTTACAAGGAAGGCCGTCACAGTTCGCCTTTTGCTCACTTAGCCATTCCTTCAATATGTCATCCTTCTGCAATGCGATTCCTAATTGATGCAATGCCTTCTTTGCACATTTTTCCTTTGACTCAAGCTAACAAAACAATCGAATTGTTGATTGATGAAAATTTTAAACATAGATTAGATTAAAGACCTGCTCTTCGTAAGGTATGGAAAAAAGCGGTGAAACACTTTTCAAAAGGGCCTCCTTCTGTTTCTCGACAGTGTCTAAGTCATCTTTCATTTCTTTACATAGAAGCCTTTTTGTGATGTATGGGTCCGGAGCAGGTTGACAGAGCTGAAATACTTCCAACGTTTAATATACAGAAAATTGATACAGCATCGAATCGAACCTTGGCATTAAGTTTTCGTTTTTTCCAAGTCGATTCGTTTATAACTTTCAACCCTTTATCCCTTTCCTCTTCGGATCTGAAACAAGCGTAAGCCACGTTGCCGGCTATCCTGCCCATCATTTTCACCTTGTTGCAATTCAGTTTGAGCTTCACGTTCAAAAACTTGCGAAAATCCTGCAATCAAAATCAATTAAAGTTAGAGTTTTTATCGACCTGACAGTAACCACATTAGAATTTTTGAGGTATCTTCTTAAGGTCTTTGTGATAAAGTAGATTTTTTTGCGTCATAAAAGTCAGTTGAATGAAGGAAAAATAAACAGCAAAGCCTGCATTTTTTTTTTTTTTTTTTTTTACCAATAAGGAATCAATTAAGTCATGTCCTGTAAGTGTTCTAGCGATTTTTATCTTCATTATGGTAATCCCTACATCGTCCAGGTTAATAATGGGTGACAATATGCAGTCAAGCATTACCAAGCATTAACACAGTTATCCCCAATAAATGTAGCGAATGGGGCTTCCAGAAGAACTTCCTCAATGTACCTTAGTGCGGTCAAATTTCTGTTTGATGTGCAGTTTGGTACGGCCATGGTCGTTGAATCTACCCCATACCATAAATGACTGTTTTAAAAATGCTATCACTCCCACATGGCACATAAAGCAAAACTTCAAAAACTTGAAAAATGGCAAAAAGGAGGGAAAACTCAAAAGGTGGGGTTGAGATAGTAAGTTGGTGTCCGAGTGGATCGAGGTCACGATAGCTCAAGTGGTAGAGCAGCGGCGTATCAAGCCGATCGTGGGTTCGAATCCCGCTCGTGCCATTGACTTTTTTATCTCAACTAAAAACCTTAATTAATTGTAATAAAGCAAAACATTGTACAGACCCAGTCATCTGATTGCCGACCGAACTGACACTCATCTGTGAACATAACAGCACCCATTGCTCAAGTATCCAAGCAGATGCTCATTTGCAAATAATCGCCTTTCTACAGAATGCCTCTTCAGAAGAAAAGGACCTGATGTAGGACGTCTAGAAGCTAGAAATCTAGTCTTCTGATGACTGTTTCAAAGTTCACCATTACATTGCGGAACGTTAGATTCACTAAACTTTCGGCTATTTATACCATATAAATATATAAAATATATCGACAGTAAGGATGGCGATATAAATCGCCAGAAGCTCGGTGAATCAAAAGAAGTCTACTTCGTCACAGACCTTATGAAGGTACCTCAATAAATTCTAAAAACAATTACTATCGTGTCCGACCCTGTCGATAGTCTCTTACTTTTATCGAGAAATATTTTGGCAAGCCTCTAATGACGATTTTGTATTTTTCACTCGTGAAAGCTGAATTTTCGACGTAGGAGAATGGATTCGGTTCGGTTTTGTTCGGATCGTCGTTCTGCGACTCGGTCATTTCGACGTCGGCTCCTTCTTTGACGTCCATCGCCTTTCCGTCTTCACAGTCGGCAACTTCTTCACCCTGGTATTCCATGCCGGTTGAATCCGGGTCTACGTTAGAAATCGGTAAAAATCAAAAAATTCTACGTTCTGGAGGTGAGACGGATTTTCTTTATCGGTTCGCGGTGGATGACCTGACTTTGTCAACTAGAAACCACTCCAATGCTCCAAAAGTCCAAACCACATGTCCAATGTCCACAATCACATACCAGTTGAAACCTCTTCAGACAGTTGTCCAACTATGCGGGAAAAGCATCGATACCTAACTCTGGTATTTCCATATTCGATACTAGTACTTGTTTACGAGGTACTTTCGGTGGATTGAAAAAAAACCATAAAAACCAAAAAGATGTTAATCGCTATATTAATTACAACATACTTATTTTAATTAAACTAAATCAGAAATTTATGAGTTTTAATAAAAATAATTTATTTACTATGGTTTAAAAAAAAATCACCAAAACTCCGGATAATCATTTAGCTGTACATTGAAATTTAACTAAAAATTTATTTATTAATATTAGTTGTCTTCTTCATAACGCTGGAATGATATCCTCTGGCCTCGGGGAGGGTCGTAGGTAAATAAGCGATCTGATTTCGTTTTATGAAACAGAATCCCATTATTGGAGGCGACGAACTATGGCCAACCTCTGTACCATGTCCCATAAGTGTTCTTTGGGATTCATTTCAAGAGAACCTGCCGGCCAATTCATCGTGGTACTCTACATCCTGCAATTGGTGACGCCTGGAACTGTTACCTAGCAAATGGAGAGAATGGGGCCACAGCTTAAAGAAGAACTTCCTCAATGTAGCTAGTGCATCCATTCTGTATGATAATCGGTCGGGCATGGACGTTGTTTTCAACCCAGACCATAACTAACCGTCGTTGAAAAAGTTGTGATATGCATGGCACATGAAGCAAAGCGTTCTCCACACACAGTCCCAGTCATCTGATTTCCGATCAAACCGGCATTCATCTGTGAAGCAAACAGCCCCCCATTGTTCAAGTGTCCAAGCAGATGCTGATTTGCCCTGCCTCGTTGTCTTTCTACTTGAAGCCTCTCCATTGGTAGCGAACCTAATGCGAAAGGTCAAGAAGCTAGAAATCACTTCTGTGACTGTGTTCTTCTGTGTGTGTGTTCTTCTGATGACTGTTTCAGAGCATGTGTCTGGGTTCTAAGTTAGTCATTTGTCTATGTACATCCCTTGGTATATAGCAGGATGATTTTTCTACGAAGGGTAAAGGTTATGCGGATTGATTTTTCAACTAATATTCCAACAGTATGGGGTGTTGTTGCAGGTTTCGAGAAAGGTTATGATCGGTGTTACATGACAGGATTGACGGAGCGTCTGGAAAGGCCGTTTGTGTATGAGATGGGAAGCGCTAGTACGGTGCCCTGAGGTAATCCTACCAGTCAGAGATGTAAGTCGCTTCAATGACTCGGAAAAACTTGAACGACGACAAAACAAACGGCAAACCGTGCAGAAAATATTTGTTGACCAATAAGCGAACGATTAAATCATATCCCGTAAGTGTTTTATAGGATTTTTTTCATTATGATAATCCCTACATCGACCAGGTTAATGGGTGACAACTCGAGCTACACGCAGTCGAGCATTATCATGCATTAACACAAAGTTGTCCCCAATAAATGGAGCGAATGGGGCCACAGCTTCCAGAAGAACTTCCCCAATGTACCTTAGCGCAGTGAAAGATCCATTCTGTATGATAAGCAGTTCGGTACGAGCATGAACGTTGATTCCAACTCATACCATAACTGACTCTTTGAAACGGCTGTGACTCAAGCTTGGCGCATGAAGCAAAACACTCTTCATGTCTTCTCTAAACAAGGTCTTCTGCCACAAACCAAATTGGCACTCGTCTGTGAAGAGAACAGCTCCCCATTGTTCCCAGTAGAAAACCTGATGCAGAACGTCTAAACACTAGGTTGTTCTTTTCTGATGACTCTTTTGAGGCTTCCCTTACATTACGGACCGTTTGGGGTTGACTACCTGTCAAGGAAGCCGTTAAATGACGGATCTATAGTGCGGTAAGAGCAATAAAACGAGCTATGACCGCATGGCACATGAAGCATAGCGTTCTCCACACACAGTCCCAGTTCCAATCAACTGATTGCCGACCAAACCGACACTGTATGTGAAGCAAACAGACCCCCATTGTTCAAGTGTCCTGCGTTCAAGCGGGATTCCAATTTGTAAATAGTCGTCTTTCTGCTCCACGCTTCTCCAGTTATAGAGTATCTGATGCAGGTCTAGAAGCTAGAATTCGAGTCTTTTGATGACTGTTTCAGAGCTGATCCTTACATTACAGACCGTTTGGAGTCGACTACCAATAAAAAAAATACGTTAAATGACGGTAATAGCAATTAAAGATCGTCTCTAGCTGTCGTACATCGCGATCGACTACTACATGCTTCCATCGAGAGATCGGCCATTGTGGCCACACAATCGTGGATGGTACAGCGCGGCAAACCCATGATTTGGGTTATGTAATGGACGTTCGGACGAGATCTTGACTTACACTAAGCTTTAAAATAAAATAAAAACTGCATAACTGTGCACACATTTGACCAAAATAAATGTTTGGTACTCATCAGTTATGAGAAGATTAAAACTATGACTTGATTAAGACTAACAAAAGTGAACTGATCATCATGAAGTTTATTATCATACTTGAACCTTGCAGCCCCTCTAGTTATTGCCCAGATCACAGAATCAAAGAATAATTATTAACATATAGAAAACCCAGGTACTTTGTATATCTTATGCAAAACAAATTAATTAATTATTAATACTCTGCTAGTTGGCTCTGTAAAGGATGAAATTGAATTGATTTCTTTATTTTTAATCTAAAGAGTATAAAAGGATTACAAACACTCTAAGGTAAACAAGTTATTAATGTTGTGTTTACTAGTCATCTAGTAATCTGTATGCATAGTTATTATGGGAAATAAACAAAACAACAAGTGTCCGGTTTTTCTTTTTACTTTCAGTGTTTCAGTGTATGTTAATGTTCTTCTTTTATAGATGTAGGGTAAAATTTGAAGCTGGCCATTCCAAAACTTGATTTTTTCTTTTTGAAAAAAAAATTTCGCTGTGGTCAGGAACATTGTCCTGCTGGGATACAAATTATTCACTTGGGAAGTAGTCTCTGAGTAGCTTGCTAATTGATTTTAATTGTTGCTGTATTGTTAATTGTTTATTGAATTATAGTATATCTATACCTGACCCGGTTTTTACTGTCAAGGGGATTGCCAGGTTGGTGGGTCACGGATTTGGGTCAATTTTTTGGTGATTCTACACTCTAAAATATCGGACAAGTATCCACCACTTCTTGTGAATAATCTAATATCTAATAATCTTGTGAATCCACCAATTCTTCTGGTTTCGCCAAAAAAATTTTGAAAGCTGATATTTTACATTTTTTAATATTTTTATTTCGCTTTTCTACTAGCTCAAATCAACTATGTGAATATCTCATTTCACAGCATTTTTTTATGTAGGTCGCAATAAAAATGTAGTAAAAGCTATCAAATTTTATCAATTACCACAAAATTCCTAAAAACCAAATATTTTTGAAGCAAATTAGGTTTTTTTGTGAAACTAATATGTAATTTCGTTTTAGCTACTCTATAGATCCCTAAATGTAAATTTTTGTTTGAATTTAAATTTATTGATTTTTATTTAGAAATCGTGAGATGCGGTCTGGTGTGATGTAGGTTTCAGAAAAACATTTTCTTTATCGTGCCAACGTTTCGATCTTTATTGAGATCATCTTCAGGGCTCAAAGTGTTTGTCTTCTGTGTAATTGTGCCATTCTTGCTTGTCGTGCCGAGAGTGCTTTATTGATTTTCTGACTCCTAAAATTTTTCCAATATTTGAAAAGTCGGTATCGAAATATTTGACTGAAATGGCCATAATTCGAAGTAGAATATTCTAATTTGGTATGATTAAAAAAAAAATCAACAAAATACTGCTTTTTTTGCATATTTTAACGAACCTTCTGAAAGCAAAGTAGGCCAGAAAATGATCAAAACCTGGATTTGACTTCATTTTCATGATTCTAGCGTTATAAAACCCTTAGTTACCGAATTTCACGGAATCTGTTTAAATTAATTTTTTGACTGATAATTTGATGACCTTTCATGACATTTCTAGTGCAAGCTCTAACGTAATTTTTTTTCAAAAGCTAGTGGACCTATTTTTATAGTTGATAATTCGTTTTAAAGAAACTGTAGGGCGTCGGTGGCCGCAACGGTTTAGGCGTTGACACGGCGCTCATCACTGTAAGGTAAAAGTCCCGGGTTCGAATCCAACGGCCCTGCATTCGAATCCAACATTCTTACAAATAGGCTTTTTTCAAAAACACCGGCACCCCGAGGACCTCTACTCTACTGTTGCGAACCCTCTTAAAAAAGAAAAAAACTCCCTGATTTAACGGTCATCACCTTCTTCAATTTCGTATTATTGGAGATAGTGAGTTGCGGTCTGGTGTGACGTAGGTTTTAGAAAAATATTTTTTTTTTTTATCGTGCCAGCGTTTCGAACTTTATTGAGATCATCTTCAGGGCCTGGGATTTGTGCCCATTGTCATTTTAGCCGTTTTTTAATTATAGCCGTTTCAATCAGATATTTTGATTTAGTGATAAATTCAAACAAAATTTATATTTAGGGGTCTCTAGACAGAAAATTACAGAAAATCATCCCTCTTCATACCGCCCCTCTGGACGCTACTGAACCCAAAATTATGCCTCCCATCTACATCCTACAATAAAAATAATACTCCTCCCAAAATCCACAAGCAAAATTAAACAAATTCAAAGCCATGCACACACTCTTGATTTATTTTCTCTGGTGGATCGAAAAGCGCAGATTTGAGTAGCTATTGTTTGCGTTGCATGATCGCAGGTTTAAACTGTATCCGCTATTTGATTAGGGATGGATTTATACATCGGGCAAATAAATCTTTCACAATTCAATTTAGATCCAGACAAGACCCGAAAAATAACCCAGCCCCCAAACCTTACCTGGCTACTTCCAGAAGTTAAATTTGAATTTTCCCTTGCAAATACGCGAAAACAGGAACCAAACCCTTTCAGACAAAACTTCCTTGAACTAAACCAATGTAGTGATGATGCTAGTCATATATACTGATGGTACCAAAAATCACACATAGTAGGTTGTTCTTATGCATTTGAGGGTTACCATTCTATTTTTCGTTTACTCTCACTTTTTTACTCTCACGCAGAACTATTTTCCAT